GGATGGGGGGAGGGGAAGTGGGCTCAGCCGGTAGAGAGAACAGACTGGAGGTGTTGAAGAGCGCCTTCCAGCGGCTCTGGGAGAGATAAAAAGGACGATGAGGGAAACAAAGGGTGTTGAGAACAGTTCTGAAGGGTCTGTTGTGAAGAAAGAGAAGAACAGAACAGAAGAAAAAAATAAATAAAACAGTGGAAGGGGTCGAAAGAAAGAAAAAAAAAAGAATTGAAATAAAACCATGAAGGGCGAAGAAGACAGGAGATGAGTGTTGGGGATTGAGGCATTGGGGTGATGGTCGATCGGCGAACGAGGGACAATGTGTATTTCTATAGAGGTATGGTGGGGAGTGGAACAAAAGGTATGGAAATTGTCCTGTGACTGCTGGCAGGACGAGCTTGGAATAATGAGAACATGGAGAGGTGTGGATAGGGGAGAGGGTGGGGCTATTGTATCACGTGATGAGAAACTGAGTACTTCAAACTGTCACAATTATCAGAGGCTCACATACGGGGTGTATACCGAGCATGACAAGGGGGGGGGGATATAAATAGCATGCTGTCTGGACAACGTGGGGGTACAAATCATACGTCACAATCTATTTGGTAAGGGGTGGACATTTTCTCCCTCATTAGCATGATTTCTGTCATGCTTTTGTTCATGTCGATCGTTCGGTTATAGGTTTTGACTAGATAAAAATTTAGACCATCAAGATCCCATAGCATGCAGCAAGCTATCAAACACCTAACTGTGCATAGTAGGGGATATAGCTTTGCAGAGCCAAGGAAACAGAGGGGAATAGGCTTAAGATGAGACAGACTAACAGACAGGAGAGAGACAAGCAAAAAAGATAAAGAGGAGAGAGAGAGAGAGAGAGAGAGAGAGAGAGAGAGAGAGAGAGAGAGAGAGAGAGAGAGAGAGAGACAGACAGACAGACAGACAGACAGACACAGACAGAGAGGAGAGAGAGAGAGAGAGAGAGAGGGAGGGAGAGAGTGGGAGAGTGGGCGGGAGGGGAGGGAAGAGTGAGGTAAAGAAAGGTACAGAGAGTGGAAAGAAAAGCTGAAAGTGAGGGGACAAAAATATGAGTGAGGGATTCAGAAAAAAAGGAAGAAAAAATGTATAATTGGGTGCCATTACCCTCTTGCACCCGTCCTTTCGGGGAAGAAGGAACAGAGACAAAGAAACAGCTAAGTGCGGTTCAAGTTTTTGGGTTGTTGTTTTTTTTTTTGGGGGGGGAGGGGTTATGGTTGTTGTTGCTTTTTTCTTGTCTTGGTGTGAAGAGTTCCGGTGGCTATCGCATCCCAACTTGCGGCGCAATGGTGTCATATTAAAAGCGGGTGTTTGGTGGGAGCTCTGCTGTGGTTTACTCCTTCGTTCCTATCAAACATCTATCAGCTTTATCTCTCCTCCTTTCTCCTTTCTCCTTTTTATGTTACTATCCAGTAACACCTCTTATTTTTGTCGCGTATATTAGCTAATAGTGTTTAAATTGCTGTAAAACTCGTACTTTTAAAAAAAAATAACTATAGTCATATAGAGAAAATAAGAAACCAAGGAAGCGGACAAAAGTAAGATGAAGTTGAGTAAAGTCGGCGTCGATCATTTATCATCAGAAAAATGGTAAGCGGATGAATAAGATTAAGGAAAGACGGGATAAGTAAGAAGGAAAGATGGTGCTTTGTGAAAACGATAACAGAACGAGTGTAGAGACAGATTATGGAATTGTTGCAAGTAGAAGACAAGGCATGACTCACGAACCACGAGAGGATGAGAAGTGCAGACAGGTTTTGACTTGGGGGAATAAAAGATAGACAGATGGAGTGATATAACAAAATAAAACCAACCAAATTATGTACAGCGTATTATGTTATAAATTATGGAATATCATATTAAATCATACAAGATCAAGACTGAGTAATTTCAAGAGGAGAGCATGGTTAAATGAGAAAGACAGATCAGAAGCTTCGCGGAAGAATAATAGAACGATAAACTGGGGCACTAGAAAGAATGGGTGTATTTAGTAGGCTACAAGGCAAGAGTTTCTGGACAAAGATATTTTTGCGAGAGGAATGTTCATGAAGTATATGGGTAAATGAGAAGGAGTGAGGGAATGCTTCTTGGAGGAATAAAAGAAAGATAGGCGGACTTAAGTGAATGAATAGATGGATGAGTAGAGCGTACAAGTTCAGGAATCATGATATTGTTGCGAGTTGCGGACCCCCCTCCAATCGAGATTCCTGGTGCCGTCGGGTGCTCGCCGGTGGAAAATTGATTCTAACGAAGAATCAATGAGGCGTTGGCCAGAGCTTCTAAAGGGACGCGGAAGATTCTGATGAATGATCATTGAAGGGGATATGCGAATCTATAGGAATGTCGCGGCTATTTTGACCAGGGGATCCTAAATGAATGAGGGGTTTTTTATGGGAGGGGAAAAATCGATGGGGTGGTGGGGAAAGATTTAAGACTTTGAGGTCATGAAGCGATGTTGAATTCTATATCTCGTGATTGCGACAGGTGATTAAGATGGGTGGGCAGCTGATGGGGTATGGATGGATGGTGGGAAGGGGCTGGGTTAGTTATGGGGTGAAGAAGTGTACGTGTAGAGTACGTGTGAGTGCAAATGTCTGTACACGTGCATGTGTGTATGCGACTGAAATTTATTGTATTTGATTTC